TTTTTTTCTTTTTTTTTTTTTTTTTTTTTTTTTCTGTTTTAACTTTTTTGTAACTTCCAATGAAATGATGCCGACTGAGATTTGTGAAAGAATTCCACGAACAAATTCTGTATATGTAGCATGATTCGTCACAAATTGTTGCATACACTGAATGGCCTCGAGTTCTTTAGCTTTCAACATTCGATTCGTACGAACTAAATGGAAGTAGCTATCAAGTGATATCTATATCCACTCGATACGTGCACTACACAGTAGTTGAAGGCACTAAGCTACTGTTGAAAGTGGTGCATACTGTTTTACTAGAATGCTTAGTACAAATTTTTCCCACATTTGAAGTGATTGCCAGTCTTCAATTATTTGGACTTCCTCTGAGTAGGGCAATGGGATACGTAATGATCAAGAAGGTGGTTTTCGTTGCGTACACAACTTCTGAAGTGAGTCTCCTCCAATAAAAATTAAATATTAATGATTTGACAATTTTACCTCCAACTTTACTTGCAAGTTGCATTCAACACGAATAGTTGATTAATGGACATACATATCAAACTCATTTTGACATGACTTCTGATAAATTAAAATAAATTTCATCAAAAAGGTAGTTTTGAACGCGTTTGATTAATTTTATAAAAGTGATTTTACGTAAAAGAATTTTTAAAAAAAACTGACTTACCATGGAAGAGAGAGAACTTTTACATACTAGGCCCTCATTTGGGCTCCATTTGAACGAGGTACAGGAAAAAATGTATTTTAAAATAATAATTTTTTTTAGGGAATGTGTGATTAAAAAATTAAAAAGAATATAAATTGTAACTTGGCGAAACATGCTATATATAAAGACAACTTGTATCCTTTTCAAAACCTCGATATTCATTCATTATGCAGCATATGTAATAACAGAAACATTTTTTTCCCTTGAAAATACAAAATAAAATGAATCATATACATCCATTGAAAGCTGAAAATGTGAGGCAAAACTACACAAATACACTGCCTCTGGACAACAATTGATTCTTCAATATCCTATTCTCAATCCTTCCAATGTCATCGCAGTTCATGACATTGCATTTTTTTAAATCCCAAAAGTTCAAAAACCAAAAGAAAAAACGTCTAAAACCGCAAGATTGACAGGAAAAAACGCAAACAATACTTCTACATAGAGAAACAGAGAAGCATGTATGTTTTCACAAATGCATGTATTTCGACTCTTTGACCTGTGAAATGCCATGATTGAAAAATTTTGGAGAAAAAAAAATGATGTGAATGAAATGCCTAACCTGACCACCCACCCGCCCGGCCCAGAATGAAATGCATAACCCGACCAGACACCCAACCACCTGGCCCACTAACCCCGACCTGAGCCCCCCAAATATAACATGATGAATGAAAATAATGAGATTGAATGCAAATCGACTCCAAGAACTTATGTATGACCAATGCAAGAGAAAGACAGACCAGAAAACATTTTTTTTAAAAAAACTGATTTTTGATGAAAAAGAAAATTTAAAAATTAGGGAAGAAAAACTGCAGCGGGTAGGTGGGTTGGCTGGCTCAAGGTATCATGCCAACCAAAGCTCTGGGGGCTTATCTTGTCCCGATCAAGGATGACATCGAGAATATCTTGTTTTGACCACCGGGAGAGACCACCAAGGACGCACAAAGCACAGAAATGCAATGCAGACTGATTTGTTCATTCAGCACAGTAACAACTATCTTCCCTCCCGAATCGATCTCAAAAATTGAACTCTACTTCTCAAGTTTAAATTACTGAGAAGCCACTGCCACCGATTCCTTCCCATGGCAAAATTAATGAACCCGAGATTTTGCTTCTCAGGTCCTTCAGCCACCACCATCCCGATCCCATGATGCTTATGCATGAGTTAGTGACTTTACGAAGATAAATGGCTTCTGTAGTCAGAGAAATTTAATGACCGACTCGTTTTATGCAATTCTGGACCCGACCTGAACCGACTCAACATGACCATATGCATGCAGGTTAGATAATACGTACTCCCTGGATGCCACCTCAAACAGAAATGGCACGACTAATGGCCAACCTGGCCCACTCGGCAGATTCCTTAATCAAGTGGTCATCTGAAGACAAGCATTCATTTAAAAAGTCTTTGCTTGAGACAGATTGCTGAATCAAAGAACCTGCATTGCTTCCCAGCGTATCAGCTAAATCGCCCAGGACACCAATAGCAGTTTTCATCACAACATCATCCCTGCAATAATATAGATTGAACAATCAGATGATAAATATACAAAAGATTAGTACAACAAAGAAGCATAACTGTGATTACAAAATAAAGGGTATACTTACATATCTTTCTCCATGTAAATGCTGTCTAGGAATTGAAGGATATGTGGTGCATACGGGAACAGAAGCTGAGTCTTAGGAGTGTTCTTGAAGCCCTGGAATATTCCAGAATATGCCTCCAAAATTCCATTCCTAAGAAGATTAGTATATTCTATCATTTCATCATCCACACCTGATGTGTGAGCAGACAATTCTGCAGCGCTCTGGAGCATGGGCATTGCATACATTAGGTACTTCTCAAAATTCTCTCCAATGGCCAGTGCTATGTCCCCAAAGCATGAAAAGATTGGGGGCTTTACGGATCGGTGAAGTTGGTTACTTGACAAGTCTTTGAGGAGCTGGGTCATTATCCCATCACAGTAAGGCAGAATCTTACCCTCCAATGCCCTGCAGATATCACCCACAACACCAACTGTTACAGCACAAACTTGGTATTCTTCGAAATTCTGTAGACCCATCTCCAAGTACTTGTAAAATTCAGGCAAGAATATTGCAAAGTTGGGGCCTGTTGCATAGGCAAATGCACCAATAGCAAGCATTGCTTCCTCATGGACAGTGGCACTTCTACAAGCAAAAACCCTGAGAAGAAGGTTCATGATCTGATCTCCATACTGCATGAAGGCATACTTGGCGGTATTTGAAGCCCCTAGTTTCTGAATAATGACCTGTAAGCACCCACAGAGAAGGCCTTGTAATTCATTCTGCTTCTCTCGCTCGTCAGACAAGAGTTTCTGTCCCTCGAGAGTCTTGTGAAGCTCTGCCATGATGACTTGAACAAGCTCCGAGACTAACCGGGCAGTTTCCTCAGTTGAGCATCTTACCACTTCATTAAGTGTCTCGTACGCAGCAGTCCGAAGTCGTGACTCCCCAGCATCTTCTCTATGAGTGACGTTGAGAAGGGACTGAACAATTTCTTGGAAATAAGGCATCAAAGAAGATGATGATCCCAAGTCCTCATAACCTTGTGCGAGAAAATAGAGAGCACCACAGGCTTTCTCAGCAACATTTGGAACGTCTTTCATGCTCTGGAGTAGAACTGTAATAATCTGTTGGCAATTTTCTGGAGTAATAATGGGTGTTTCCATAGTTGAACCATGAAGGAATTCAAATATTCTCCCCAAGGTCCATGCAGTTGTGTCCTTCACATGGCTACTTGGGTCATTGGTCAAAGCCGTGAGCATGAAATTTAGAGCAACATTGACGATAGGGGTTAACTTATCGGGCGAAGGACCTTCCAATATGGAACCAAATGCATATGTAGCTGCCTCTCTCTGCCTCCAATCAGGTTTTGTTATATTCTCTTCAATAAATGGCATCACAAGCGGCACAATATCATCACCCACTGTCCGGGCAACCAGACCAAGGCAAGTTCCACCAGCCATGGCAAGATTCCAAGCTCCGTCATCCTGATCCTGATCTTCTTCTTGTTTGAGAAGAGTCTCCAACAGCATAGGAACAAGTGCCGGGAGAGCTTGTTTGATAAAATGATAGCACGGAACATCAGAATCTGCAGTAAATTCACCTCCATACTCTTCCAAAATATCAATCTCCTCATCACAAACTGAGCTCCAAAACTCAATGGCCTGAAGTGCAACTGGTTCCTCTTCTTCTCTGACAGCCTTCAACGTGATGTTGAAAATGTCTTGGATGTATGGTGTTAATTTCTCATAATATGTTGACCCAATCGAGACCAAACACTCAAAAGCAGCCAGGCGAATTTTCACCTCTGGGGAGAGAGTGGCCTCACAAACAACTCTCATTATGTAATCACGTTCCATATCGTTGGAAAAGTTTGCCTGCGCAAAGCTAAGAGCATTATACAAAGCTCGGGTGGCAGCAAGCCTGACCTCATTGTTACCTTCATTTGCATTCATTCCTTGTACCACGGCTGTAAGTATCTTATTAACATGATCTTGATCAACAACATCAGGAACAACTTCTTCACACAGATACCCCAAAGTTTCAAGGGTAGCTTGCTTTACATGAGGTGGGACCTGATGAATATTTGACAAGAGGGATCCTATCAGCTCTGGCCACTGTTTCTGCGGCAGCTCAATACTTGCAACTTTTGCAATGACTTGTGAAGCAGTTGATCGAGCATCAGGTACAGAAGAAGAGAGGGTTTGTAACAAGCATGCCTTGATTTGGCCCTTCACAGCCACATCTAAAGACAACCATCTTTGAACAAGCTCATACTTTCTATGTTGTTCCTTAGCATCCAAAGCATTTTTGAGAATCAAACCTGCCAGTTTACGACTTTCAATTGGCTTTTCTTCACTAGCAAGCTCTCCAGAAAGGGATAACAGAAAACCAGGAAGATTTTGATCCTGAAACTGTTTCAAAGTATCTTCAGCATGTTTCCGCACGGTTGCATCTACAGCTTGTGCACTTAGAAGAACCTGGGTAACTTCCATTGCTATTTTCTTCCTGTTTATATCAAGTGAGATGAAATTACCATAAGAAATAGGCATTGACATCAAAACTCAGAATTGAATACATCTCAAATGCTGAAGAAAGAAATAACTCCCTGAGAAGTAAGAACATTGATTAATGTACAAAACATCAATGAGAAATCAAATGTCACGCCAAAAATGAAAAAGGGGGGGGGGGGGGGGGGGGGGGTTGGCAAGATTGAGCAAATTTTTATGTTTGCAGTCCCAGGCAAATAAAGATGAAAAGAATAATTGAACAGGGTATCATGCGATACTAAGACAGAATACTCAACGCAGGGGCCATGAAACAAACTAAACACCGACAACGTTTCCAGTTTAGCATCCAATCGATAAGAAGAAAAAGTACCACATTCAATATTCTCTCATTCCATACAGTTACCATGCGACAAAAACAGAGAAAGAACACAATTTTCTAGGTTGAGAAAGGGGTTACTGAACAACTGCCACTCTTGTGCTCATTTAAATTGACAAAATCAAGAACTTTCCCCCATAAATGGGCAAACAGGGGTGATAATGACTTTTGATTGTTGACCTAGTTGGAGAATAGGTACATTGGTATTCAACACCAAACGTAAAGATACAAATGTATAAAACGAACTCGCCATAGATCTAAAAGACAATCTTCAAAATTTAACTAAAATCTACAACATTTAAATCAAACAAGATATAAGCCAACTGTTCATTCTACTCTACTCAAAAGTGAAAGCAACAAAACATACGCTTAAAACCAATCAAAGGTACAATAATTCATTAATTAAGTTTTAAAATCCAAATATACCCACCAGAACTTTAATTTCTTAAAGCTAAAAAGTTCAGATTAGCACAAAAATAACTTCTAGAAACCAATCCGATCTATCCAAAATCCATTAAATAACAATGAATCAGAAAGAAAATAAGTATCATTTGCTTAAAACCTTCATAAAAAACAAACAATCTGAAAAGTGAAAACTTAACACGCAAAAAGTTAGATAACTATTTTAACTGCAAAATAATTGACAAAGCAATCAGATCAATCCAGTAAACGGATCTATAAGCACCAAAATTGGAACTTAACTTCAGTAACTAATATCAAAACAGTCGATCAAAAACTTTATAAAAAAAAAATTACAAAATTCATAAAAAGCAAAGCGGTGTAAATAAATTACCTGAGAAACGAACGGAATGAGAAAATACTTCTCTCGGACCGAAATTGTCCAAAAGCGGCGCCTCTGAAAACCCTAATATGGAGTTTTTTTTTTCTTTTTTTTTTTTTTTTTTTTTTCAAAGAGAGGCTTTTTAGTTTTTAGAGAGAGATGGGTATGTAAAGCTAGACTCGAAATATGCAAATAATATTTTACTGGGAAATTATTGCGTGTTGCACGGACTAGGTAGTTTCCTCATCGTATATGGATAAGCAATTGGGTCCCATGGAATTATTTGAACCTTTTTTTTAATTCATATTTCAATTTATTTTTGGCCCTATATTACTGATTGTTGTATTCAGTATTTTGTTACTTTTTCATAATTCAATGAGAACTATACTCGCTGTCAGTATTTTGGTATGAAAAAAAAATAATAATAATAAAACTAGAAAATCCATGGAGATGGATGACCGGTTTGTACATAATTTTACTATGGTGTTAGTTGTGGTCGAGAAGATAGGCGGGGATGGGGATCATGCTAGCACATTTTTAATAGCTTAGGGACTTATAATGAAAATGAGAGGTTGTGGACTCCATGGTCATAGGCTCCAAACATTGGGGACCTCATCTGGAATATTCCCAAAGTCAAAATTCAGATTTGACCATGACTTACTATTTTATCACTAAGTTATAAAACTAGTTCTTTTTTTTTTTTTTTTTTGGATATCCAGGTATCCCAACTTACACTAAACTAAATTTTGGACCCCCAAGACCCTTGCCCCTAGAACTTTGGAGGGGGTAAATCGCGGGTTATACCTCAACTGGATCACAAGTTCCCCCCACCGCCTGTACACTTCTGCGCACAAGAGATCCTCCTCCAAAGTGATTGGAACTTGAATAACAAGAAATTTAGATTATTTTAACTGTATGAATAGACAGACCCTTCATTAGTTTCGTACAAAGATTAATTTCGAAGCTTTACGAGATGGCAGGTGCATGGAAAAGAAGTGCACTGTCCACTGTTTTCGCCGTTGTCGTCATAGGTAGTATTTGAATTCCAATGAAATTTTTAGTATTTTTGATGGGTTGTGACCTTGTTGTTCAGTGTCGATTCTGTGCTTTTGGGGGCCTCAAGCGAAGTTAAAAAATTAGACCCCCCTCCCCCTCCAAAAAAGAAAAAAAAATTATACATGCAAAATATATGCGTATTATGGTACCAATTGTTAACTTAATACTCAACTGCAAAACAAAAAACAAAAAAAATAAAATTGTCCTACTACTCCGAAATGCATTCTATACCAAAAATGGGGCTCAAACAATTGATCATACGATTAAATCTAACAAAAGTCAATATAATTCGACAAGAGTGCAATACTACAATGTAATATATAAGCCGACAAGATTTCGAACATTTTCTATATGTTTAATAGTTTATAAATAAGCAGGGGCAAGCCATTACTTACCTGAAAAATATGAATTGAGCAAAAATTATGAAATGACACAATGCGGAGCACTTTGAGAATTCTATCGTCACAACTCACAATCCTAAAATCAAAATTTAACAACAACCACGACAACCAATTAATTGTTGAAGATAAATTTAAATTGTATATGAAAGATAAATTTAATAGCAACCATTAAGTAAATCCCTAAAACGTCTCAGCATTTCTCTCCCACTCCATTCTTCTCTCCATTTGCATGAAGTAGAATATAATTTTCGATCACAAGAAGGATCTTGGCTAAATCCATTCTTGAAGTGGACAGACATGAATACGTGGGAGCTTAAAATCTTTTGATCTCAATACATCATTCTAAAAAGACTCACACAGCTAAGGTTCTACATTTCTAGTACCAATCCATGCACTGATAGCTCATTAAGAGACATCAAAATCAGTTCTATTAACAACATAACAAAGGCTAAATCATATTGCAAAAACATTGAAGAAGGACAGTAGGACTAAGGGAGTGCATTGCAATCTGTGCATTCTGTCCTGCATAAGTGCTTTGACTTGGTCGCAGTTTATATTTATAGATGCATATGATAACAATGCATAAATAAACCACCGAACATATAAGCAGATGGAGCATGGGAGAAAGCCATAGTTGGATGGTGCACTAAAGATATGCTAGTGGATCATCACAATCATCAGAAGTGCAAGAAAATGCATAAGAAGCTTTGAAAATGTAATCTAATCATACCTAGACTTCTGCATTTTTGAAAGCTGCTTTGCAACATATTCGCACGACTACTCAATAAAATCATAGCATGACAAGAGGCTAAGTCCAGTGAGAAATTCTTCAGTCTGTTTTGCAGGTGAAAACAAAAAACACCAGTGTAAGAATAAATTCCAGTGTGAAACATCTACCATAGGTTAATTAATGTTTGTAGATGTTATGGATTGATAAGAAAGCAAAGAAGACATTCAAGGGATATGCCAACAAAATGCTCATAGATACAAAAGAGAACTTTTAATGAAGGATTTTCGTTGTTAAATAGGAACCAGATCTGTGTCCAGTACTCGAGCCGATTGAATCAGCATTACAATCCATATCACAATCTCATTCAAGTAGAATCAGATATCAATAAAAATTCAAAGTTTGTTTATTATATGATGGAGAACTCAAAAAAGAAACAGAAGAAGAGAGCTCAAGGGAAATTTTAATGTAAATCAGTAGTCCCTGAAATTGAAAAATCGTAGCTTCAAATTTAACTTAATGACAACACTTTGCGCTATGGACATAACTGTTTCGACTTTGAATTCTCACATCATTGGAAATCTTTTTTCATTGAGTCAGTGAGATAAAGGGAAATGGATGAGCTTCATTTCACAGCAATACACTATAAAATTTTGAACTATTGAGAATTGGTCAATCAAACACCAAATAATATATCATTTTTTTCCCTTTAAATTCTCAAAAAATCCAGTTCAAGCCTATACTGCAAAGAAGGTAAAATTAAATTTTCTATAAGCTCAACCGAACAGATATAATAATAACAATCACCTCAAGAAGAACACTCAAATCAAAGCACAAGTAATTTCAAAAATATAAAGGAGGAAGAATAATACCAAAACGGGAACTACATTTATACCCTTCCAATTTCCATAATCGTTAATATCTAATCCATTAGAAAGCAATTTCGCCAGATCTTCTTTCAGAAACCTCTGCTTCGCCTCCGCTCTCCGCCGCACCACTTCAATCCTCGTCCAAGTCGCTTTAATTAGCGATTTACTTCATTTCAATTCAAGTATAAAAAAAAAGTTAAAAATAAAAATTGAAGCATGTATATAGACAAAGAAAGACTCGAGTGCTGGAGTGTCGCTGTCGTCGGTCCGGTGGAGCAGAGAGGTGAGAGGCGATGAAATGAGGCCCCGTGGGGTTTCTACCTTTAATTGAAAATAAAAAATAAAAAAATATTGGGCCATATAAATAAGGCCTCCTTTGGCTTTGGGCCCTAAGGCGTGCCTCGCCTCAGGACCGATCCTAACCTTGTTCTTTGCTTTTTTATTTCTGTTGGCAATAAATAATTTTTATTCATCTTAATGGATTAAACTTTAATGTGCGTGTATTGATATTGTGATTGTATCCTCAAAACACGAAGTTTATTTGCTTTTTTTGCTGCGAAAGAAGAGGCTAGCGAATTGGGAACCGCTATCGGGATATATCTTGTAACTACATATTCATGTGTTGGTGTTTTCAAAGACGGGAATGTTAATATCATAGCGAATGATCAAGGAAATCGGAAAACCCCTTCATGGGTTGCCTTTACTGATAATGAGAGGTTGATTGGTGAGGCCAGCAAGAATCAGGCTTCAGTTAATTCCGAGAGGACTATCTTTGACGTCAAGAGGCTAATTGGAAGAAAGTAAGACATGGATTCTTTTGTTTTTTAATTTTGGCAGCAAAATTAAAAATATAAGGAATTTTTTGAAAATCTTGTGCAAAATTTTGAATTTTAAATTTAGTATAGAGACAACTGACCTGCCCCATACCAAATCTACCACTGCTTATATTCTTTTGTTTTTTCTACTCATGGAATCATTTATAATTATCAGGACTATAACTCTTGCTACGGTGTAGGATTGAAGATAAAGAGGTCCAAAATGACATGAAGCTCGTTCCATCTAAGATCTTGAAAAAGGAGGGAAAACCATACATAGAGATCCAAATGAAAGATGGCAAGACCAAGGTTTTTAGTCCTAAGGAGATTAACGCCATGATTCTATCAAAGATGAAGGAAACCGCCGAAGCATACCTTGGAAAAAAAATTAAGGATGCAATTGTCACTGTTCCTGGAAAACTTCTTATTCAAAGATTTATTCGAGTCTTATTGACATCGTTAGGAACCTAGTGTTGTAACTTAAAATAAAGTTTTAACCTTTCAACAATTAACCTATTTAATTTTCTATTTTTATTTATTTAATAATCACTTTTAACATAATTAAAACATCATAATTCATGTTATAGTCTCTATTTTAATGACGTAATTGTGGAGGTTAATTTTCACCTATAAAAGGTGATTACATCTCATTGAAGATGAGCATTAGCATACAATAATTTGGAAGGAAAACATTCTTTATAATTTATACTATATTCTTATATTTTTGGCAACTCGATGAGAGACTCGTTCAATTATCTTCCTATGGTCGTGCCCGCAAAAGGAGAGCCACATGGATTTTATCTTGGAACCATGTAGTGCTGAAAGAACCCGAATGAAAGGGAGGCAACACAACTTTACGATAGCGTGCTCGATGTGACTCCCAAGGCTTGCTTTCTAAATCTCTTCTCTATTTTATGTTATATTATTCTTGAATTGTATTTGTTATTTTATTGTGTTAATTGATAATAAATTTATCTACTCATAAATCACTCAATTTTTCCAACAATCTAAAGTCGTGTTGAGTGATTTTTGCATAGTAGTGTATGATCTTTAAAGTGCAAACTAACCATGTTTAGATGGTTTAATTTGTTATATTTCAAGTAAAAGTAATCTTGCAGTGAAACAGCAAGCAATGAACTCCTGATAGAAATATACCTAACTGATAAGTGTAGTTTCTACATTTTTTGGGATCTTAAATGATGATATTTTGTTATTCTTTGAATGAATTAGAACCTGATTTGTTATTTATTGCTTTTATTTGGAACAATTCATGTTTCAAAGAAGAATTGGAAAAAAGAACGGAAAATGGCTAAATGAAGCAAATCCAAAGTATGGGGACCAAAGTGTAAATATTTAATGGTTGATTTGGATCACAAAAGATATTTTGAAGATTGATAGAAGTCAATTGAATGCAAATTGGAGTCAAAAAGGAAAAGAATATGGTTAGAATATTACCATAAATCGACTTCAAATCATATAAGATATCTTCAAGACTTTTGATCAAATTGAGACCCATTTTTCGGATGGAGAATGTTTGAATTGGAAAAATTGTATTTCTAAAAGAATTGTAGATCTTTTAATTATCTTTCTAATTTACTTTGAATCACCTGAATCGGATGCTAATAGAGAAAGTTATGATCAAAATACTGAAAGTAGTGCAGAGACAAAATTATGTGCGCGTGAAGGCAACTTTCCTTATTGATTCAAACTCTTTTGGAAGTCAATTTGGACGTGAATTTTGACCTAATTTCATCAAACAAATACAAGATATGGGCAGCAATGGAAGGGTCTCTCTCTTGCTTCTTCATACACAATAGTTTCATCAAATCCATCAGGAACAAGGGGCCAATTTCTATATTTTGAGAGAGAAGATCAAGTCATAGCAAGTAATTAAAGTTCAATTACATCAAGTTTTGAAAAATTCAACTTTGGACGTGAAGATCAACATCTTTTGTATTCTAGGTGATATTTTTCTATTATTTTTCTTGTAATTTATATATTAATATCTAGGCTAGTTTTTCATTGTATTGGATGAATGATGAATCCTATCTTTTGTTTATTTTAATTCAAAACAATTAATTTAGTATTTCATGATTTTTTCTTAATTGGTTTTGCATTCCCATTGAACTATTTAATTACTTGATCACCAATTAGATAGTAAGTTGCTTGTTGTAGTGTAGGAATACTCACAATAAACGCTGTAAAATCAACGCATGAACAATAGGTATTAAGAATAATACTTATGGCATGTGCAATCACGTGTGATAAATCATGTGAATCAATGCATGTTTTTCATATGAATTCAAATTAGAAATATGATCGTCTCGTGGTAATTATAGGTTTATTATATTTTGGGAAAGAATATTGAATAAAAGTGGATTATCGATTGTTTTGAATGCATGAATTTACTAGATTATAAATTAAGAGCTGAATTAGATGGCAAATAGGGGGATTCACGATTCCAGTACAAATGTTCACATATTAAATAAATATTTTATTTACTTTCTTAGTTTAAGATTAGCATATAAAACATACAAATCACAAACTTTTTTTATTTTATAGCACTTCGAATCTAGTAAAAGCTACTTAACTAAGTATTAAACCTTATTTCTCGTGGGAACAATACTCTTAACTCACAAATTTTATTACTTGTACAACGATCCCGTACGCATGCGGGTTTCACACGAACAAGTTTTTGGCGCCGTTGTCGGGGAATAACGGTGTTAATTTTAGTTATTAGATATTTTAAATTCGTTTATTTTTATTT